GGCAGCCATTGATGGGGCTGGGAGAGCAGGCGGGGGTTGGGGGGCACTCAGGAAGGCTGGGGGAGCAGGCAGGGGGTGGGGCCTGGCAGGGGTCCACCCATGGTCCCCTTCACCCTCCTCCAGCCCCCACATCTGACCCCTACTTACCGGCACAGAGTCCAGGTCCAGTTCCCTGCAGTGGCAAGCAAGAACTGGCCGAATTGGAAAATCTCCAAATCTCCTCTGAATCTTTTTCTGAATTGATTCGGAGGCTTTGAATCAGTTCAGACCTTTTCATTGGTCTCCTGATTCGATTCAGATTTGGAGATTTGGCCACCATATCAGCCTGAATTTCCTCCGAATCGAATCAGCACCTGAAGCTTTGCACAGCCCTAATGTGCACTTTCCTATAAGATTACTAATTAGCTCCACAGTAAAGCATCACAGTCTACATGTGTATTAGGACATATTAATCTAATTAATTAGTCAGGGACAGTACTATCCTATGGCAAAGTAAATAACTGAGATCAAATACTCATATAGACAGGGACCATGGGTGGAAATTGCACTCAGTCAGCCCAGGCATCAGGGAGCCAGACTCTTGCCTGCCACCTAGCCACACGGCTCTGCATGTTTGGCACTCTCGTGCTCTAGCCATCCCCTCTTCCACCCACTGCCACTACTCAGAGCCCAGGGCTGACTTCCCCTGAGCTTGCTGCCAGCCTGGGCCTGCTCTGCCCTGGCTCAAAGCGCTGCTGCCTTGGGCACACATACAGATGCTGTGCTCAGGAGCAGTATAGTCTGACTCAAAGTACTCTGGAGCTTATCACTTTGCAGCATTAATTGCATGCATCCACTAAATAACTTTTGCTACTTGCCTTTTGCTAGTTCAGAGCCAGTGGCACCATTTCACACTATCAACCCATCAATAGCATCTTAGTATAGAGTGAACTTTTGGAGAGAGAGCAACAGTGATGAGTACCTATATTTGGCAGATCTTGTTCATCAGATCTGAAATGTTGATAGACCAAAAATAAAATGTTAGGCTGAATAAAGCATTAACAATTTGTGTGCAAAGCCCCTGTGCTCACACAGACAATTTTCTTAAAACTGGTCAAACAACATGCAATAGTACATCAGGAGTTTTCCATTGCTTCTGTGTGTTTACATAGTCTGCAACTAAATTCTAACCATGTGCATTTGGAATTTGGCTTTACATCCACCTCCAGTAAAACATCTTGAATGCTCACAGTGGTTCCAAATTAAATCATTTTTCAGCAGCACCAGACCAAAGGAGTTCAGGGCCTCCAACTTGCCACCACCATCTAAACATATATGCAACAGCTCTGGGGTGTCCCCACTGACATAATGCAAAGAATAGAAATGACCCTTTGGTGTCGGTGAGGGAGGGAGTTGGGGTTGAAGTTCAGAGTTGAAGAGTTCAATCCAGTGCAATTCATAAATGTTTCTAAACCCAAACAGTAACCTGAGATATTGTTTGTATCAGTAATGACTTAACTTTTGGCAAATCCAGAAAAACTCTCTCTTCCTGTTCTTATTGCCCTTCCAAAGAAAAGAAACAGTTCAAACATGCTCTACTTTGTAGTTATATCCAGATATCTACCACACATTGTAACCTGTATGTCCTCTTCTAAGCTTCTGAGGTGCACACTGGTCTTTGAGCAGCCCTGTCAATTGCTTTGCACATGCCTAGAAATATAAAAAAAGAGAGTTTTACTGTTTTGAAGATATTAATTCTAATGAACAATCAAATCCTGAAGTCCCTGTAGGACATCTTTGTAGAGTCTCCTAATTTTATTTGTGCATTCAGCCAAAGAGCGCAGTTCACTGTCTGGGCACTAATTAATGAAGCCTGTGGCAAAATGAATGCCATCTGATGGCGTTTCAGCAGACAATACAAAATAGATTTGGCAGATCTCATTTCAGTTCCTGGTGGAAAAAGCGTCTATATCACACAAAGCCCTGTCACATGTAGCACTGCTTTTTGCAATCTCAGCAGAGCAGGTGAGGATCAAATGGTCATTGAAACTGAACTATATTCTCATGTCTGGAGTTACTTTCCCTTCATCAGAGTTGAGGTATGTGGGCAGGCCAGCAAAAGCAGGTAGAAAGTTCTGCTGCTGCTGTTTATGCTGGTCTTTTTATGTAGATAAAGACAAGTTTGCGGCCTTCAGTCTAGCACACCTTCATGAGCCAGTAGTATGTTATACTCTGAGCCAGTGGTTCTCAACCTTTTTAGACTTGAGTCACCCCTCAATAGACTTGAGGTACACCCCTCAGAAAATACCACTTCTAGTTTTCACTCTAGAAGCCTACAACAGGTCAGAATGTTTTTATCACTATTGATTCCTATTTGAGATCTATGGGTTTATCTTGTGAATCATGTTTGCACACTTAACAGTGCTAACATTGAGTGACACCCGGTGGCACCTTTGAAAGGATCTCAAGGCACCTGGTTGAGAATCACTGCTCTGAGCACTGTGCAGTGCTGAGAACTCAAGGATCTAACATTGTCATATTTCTCCTCTGTTTTGTACGTTCAGTGTAAAAATATGAGTCTGCTCTGAAAAGCTTCTTTCTAAAGATGCCATCATGGGAGTTCTATGTTTTCCACCTCTCAGTGTCTTCCATATCAGTTGTGCTAGTTCCCCATAAAATGTTTGTTTCTTAGATAACTACTGACTTGCTGAAAGCCAAATCTGAAAGCCAAATTTAGTGAAATTGTTCACCAGTCATAAAGGGTTCCATAGAATTAGGCCCTCGGTAACAGCCAATGTCTTCATGATTTTAAACAGAAGAACTTCACAAACCTGATTCAAAAGAAGAATCTTCCACTCAATCAATGTCAGCAGTAATGGATCTGCAGGGTTAACAGGAATAAAAATAATGCAATAAAAACTTTTTTGACACAAAAGGTAAGCTAGTAGATCTAACTGAATAATAAAAGCAGCAGATCTCTTTATTAAAATAGTGCCATGGTCAGTTTTTAATGTGGAACTGCACTTTAAGCTAAAGAACATCCCAGAGAAAATAAAGATTGAATATACTGTTCCTACATTTGCAAACCACTAACATAAGTACATTTTCTGAGTATCTTAATATTCACATTTTGGGCCATAAGTTTATCTCAATCACCATCTTCAATGTCGAGTTTATTTTCAAAGAGCAAAGAGTTCCTGCTCCTTCAGTATTACTCAGACAGCTGTTTTGTTTTGTTCTTCTCAAGCTATGAAAAATCTGTCATTCGGTATTTAATACTAGCACCTAACTTGGTCTCTTGAGATGACAGAGGAGCCTCCTACACATGCGAACCCATCAACATACCCAAGTAGCATAAAAAAAACTAAAGTGAGGGGCTAAAGAAAAACAGCAGGTCCGGAAGCTCGAAAGCTTGTAGCATTGATTTCTTTGGCATAAAATCCACTCTGTTACTTCAGTCCCTGAATTGATTTCAGTGGAATTGTCCTGGGGTGAAAATATAAGAATTCAGTGGAGAATCTGGCTCATTGGCTAGGACTCTGATGTAAGGCTGTGATGAAACTGCTGGGCTGTGTGTGATGCAAAGTACGAATGGACAGCCCATGACAGTGAACCTATATATTGGATCTGGTCTGTATGACACTTTCTAAACTTCATGTCGGGTATTTGTTTGCGCACTCAGACAGGCTAGTTTCTACCTGGGATCTATTTATTTTTTAGCAAAAGCCTTCACTGATACTTCATATCTCAAGGCTTACTGCAGCAGAAGGCTATGATTAGCCGTGTGTCACAATAAATGGGAAAGAGCCTGTTACTGAGAACTCCAGGATGATGTCTAACACAGTGGCTAAGTACAGACAGTCTAAAAAAACTGCAAGGCAGAATTGATCCAACCTTCATGGGTTTCGCTAAGATGCAAAGATTTAATCAAGAGCAAAGGCAACTCAGGTTTGCCCAGGGGGAAAGGCAGGCAAATGCCTGCACTGGCTAGGTCGGAGGGCAGGGGGATCACTCCTGCCTGCCTCCCAGCATGCCAGACATCACGTAGGACAGGACAGCCCAGCTAAGCAGCACCATCCTTGACTGGCAGGCACCCCCAATCACCTACTGTCACTGTGGACCTCCCCTGCCCACAGCCCTAGTCTTGCTGGTTGCCATGGCAGCCCCAGGGGGGATGAGGGGGCACCCCCCCATCTGGGGTTTGCACAGCATAGGCAGGGGGGCTGCCCACAACCTGGCTTTCCCCCCTGCAGCCTGGCTGAGTGATCACTTCACGCCTGCCCCCGTTTCCTACCTGGCATCTCAGCCATGGCGGAGCTGATGGGGGGGGAACAGAGCCCCCCACCCTGTCCTCCCAGCAGCAGAGAGACCTGGTCTGGCATGGGGGGCAGAGCTGGGGTGATCATCCAGCTGGGGGGGGAAGTCCCCGCTACAGGGTCCCCCTGCACTGTGCAGACCCCAGCTGGGGGGGATGGGGATGGCGGCTATGTTCTCCCCCCTGCCCACCTCCCCCTGTGGCTGAGAGGCCAGGTCTGGTGCGGGGGGGGGCTGGTGGAGTTGGGCAGGGGGGAGGAGGGAAAGCTGGGCTGTGGGAGGAAAAGCCCCCACCACTGGGGCTCCCTCTGTGCTGTGCAGACCTCAGCTGGGGGGGCCAGGGCTGGGGGCTCTGGTCCCCCCTCACTGGCCCCACCAGGCCGCTCACAGGCTGGGCTGGGGGGCAGAGCCTTTGCTGCCTCAACTCCGAACTTCTCTTCTGTTACAGCTTTAGACCAGTTTCCAGTCACTTATACTGGTTTATGTGTGATTTCTGTCCCTAGCTGAGATAATGTCTTGCTTCTCGCTTCCAGCACAATTGCATCTATCACTTTTACCATTGGTTGTATTTTGTGTGCCATTTGGGGGGGGGGGGGGGATCTTCAAAAACCCCCTTTTTCCCCCCTTTTTTTCCCTTTTTCCATTGTTTTTTTTTTTGTGCCCTTTGGGGGGGGGGGGGGGATCTTCAAAAACCCCCTTTTTCCCCCCTTTTTTTCCCTTTTTCCATTGTTTTTTTTTTTGTGGCCATTTGGGGGGGGGGGGGTTGATCATCCAAAAGCCTCTTGTTCCCCCTTCTGCTTCCCTTTTGCCTGTTGGAAAGCAATGTCATACTCATAATTACCTCCTTGCCCTGAATAGCCTCAACACACTTGTCCCCCCAACTTCCCAAAACAGACAGGGAAGGCATCCTCAAGGCTGATGAAAATATCAGATGAAGATAGGTTGTTGCCTAAGAAAGCTCATGCCTCCTTGAATCAGTCTCTAAGGTGTCCCCTGCCCTAGCTTCTGCCTAGCAGAGTGGTAGACTTCATGGGTTTGGAGAGAATGTGATCCCCAAGGTTCATCAACAACACCCCCCCATACATTCATTACTCATTTTAAGCACATCATGATTTTTAAGCAAATCACATCATTTGGAGAGGGTCTGTCTCATGATTTTTGAATGCTGGAATAAACAGTGTTCTTGGTATTCTTAACATGACTCTAGCTGAGCAGCTGCCTTTATTCACAGGGTATTTCTTCTGGAGATTTTTGAATCCCACTACAATCTGGCTGAGTTTTAGCAGAACTCAGCTGAAAAGGGACTTCTTGCTGCGTTGCACAATAGCTGGCACTGACTTCTCCAACAGTGAGCACAAACGCCCTAAGAAAACACACTTTCAGCCATAATTTCCTGTCTTTCTGTTTCTGCTCTTTGGGGTTATGCATACCATTACCTAGGACTTAGAAGGGTTGTGTAAGACACTAACCAAGACTAGTGATTTGGAGAATGAAGTTTGCCTTAGAGTTTCCAGAAATCATTCCCAAACCCCTTAAAAAGTTTTTCCAATTATTTTATAGGCACCAGAAGGAAAAACTCTTTGCCCAAACACTAATGTTGTCAAAAGCACATGACATTATGGGCAGCTCTTACTGTGTGTGCATCACAAAAAGGGCTTTGGTTTCCCCTTCTTTCAAGTCCTGTTTTAGAAGGACTCTTCCCCACAAAGAGAGCTTGGTATGGCTCCCTCAGCTCATCAACACCAAGACGGGACAGTGAGAGGCAGTCACTTGAAGTCTGTGCCTGGCTTCCAACCCCCACGTAATACAGACTGAAATATTGAGCTATATAGACAGTAGGGTGCTTATATTACTGTAAAGCAAGCAGAAGAGGAGCAGGCAACCTACAATGTACTGTCAACCTGAGAAAAAAAGGCCCAGCTGAGAACCTGGTTTAACATACCCTTGTGGCAGGGGCCCCCGGATCTGAATGGGAAAATACCAGCTTTTGTCCTATTTATAACCTGTTCCCCCAAAAGCCTACAGAACTTTTTTTTAAGTGAGTATTACTATCTAGTTTTGTATGCCACTTCTGTCATTTGCATATGCTTTACAAAATTTCTACACACCATTACATTTTTAAGCCAGATGTAAGATTGAAGACTCAGTTCTTCAATAATCTGACCACATATATTTATATTCAAAATGTGCCTCTCAAATGAGGTTAGGAGAAATTCTGAAAGATCCTCACTCGCTATTATAAATGTTCTCTTTTTTTTTCTTGCCTACTTAATTTGGAGGGGGGGAATACTAGTTCGATTCACAGAATAGGAAGTGATGAAAAGGTCTAATTAATTCTGCATATCATCACAACCTGCATTACATCAATCTACCCATAACAAACTTGAGACTGCAGAATAATGACCAGATTCTGAAGTCTTTGTACACAATGACACTAATGAGACTATTTATAAATTACAATTGTATCCTTTCAATTTGCATTAAAAATTAAGATCAAAAGGAAATGAAATGATTGCAAAAACAAAAATAAATGCAGAGCAATTATGTGAATGGCCAGACCAAATGCTAATGGTGACTGCTTATACTGCTCTGTTCTCAAGTGAATAGTACCATGAGGATGTTATACAGCATGAAAATAAAATGGGACCATTTCATCTAGTATAACTTTCTGAGAATCTGTGGCTTCTTTTGGCATCAGACTTTCATGGCCCAAGACATCTATTTTAATCAAGATGACAGCACTTTGTTTTGAATGACCATGGAATTTGTCTTGTGACTCTCACAGATCCTAATGATACCATCAATGTAATGATAGCATCAATATCTTTCAGTATTTAATACTCTCACTCTTCCATAAACCTCCACTTTGGCAGAGAGAATAGCAAATGAAGGCAGACTTGCAGAGGAGGTTTACTCTGTGTAAATAATATAGCTGTCCCTTCCATTGCCAGCAAGCAGAAGAAAGGAGAGACTGACAGAGGACTGAACCACATACAAAATGCATGAGTTCCAATGTAATACATGCTAGTGACCAGATGGCCAAGTTAGGCTCTCTTTTTTCGTCTGAAAATATCCAGCCCACACCAGAAATTTCCTCTTTTTGGTTCTTCTTGCCTGCTGTGAATATCACCATTCGTTTTATTCAGGGGGACAGGCAAGGCAGAGAGGGTTTATCCCACTGATGATTTCTTCATTTCCTGGATCATTTAAACCTGGTTTTCTTTTGAAGTCAGTGGGTAAGTAATTTGTATGGATAATTAGTCAGTTGGATTTCCTGCCAGAATTGTGTCATTTAGTATCTGCGAGTGCCTACGTGGAGCAGATAACGGCCTTGTCCAAAAACAATTTAAAGACTGAATCAAGCTCCTTCAGTGGTTTCTCATACATCACCAGAGGCATGGGGTTTATGTGCAACTCATAAAAAAACTTGCTAATTTGTACTAGCAGGTGATAGGCAAGGTAGTGGAGGGGGAGAAGCTTTGCATGCATAAAGAGAACCTTTTTTTTTTTTTGCTTAGTGTATGTATTGGTGGCTTAGTGAGATAAGCACTGGATTTGAAACATTCCTTGGAATCGCAGATTACCCAGCAGGACTGGCTCAGCTGTTTGGAAGGGAAAACTTAACATCGCTGCTTGCAAACTTATGTTAATTGGCATGAAATGACTGCTCCTTCCACCTTCAATCTGAGACACATTTTCTTTTCGACAGTCACCAGGAGTCCATGGCACCCTGATAATGACATGCTTCATGTGCACTGGCATTGTGGTAGCTGTCGGAGGAGCTATTTCTCGCTTATTCCTGGTATGGCCGTGCTTGCAGAAGGGCCTGAGCTAACTCTAATTATCTCTGATGTCTTTTGGAGGTACATGTAGGAACAGAGCTACAGCAACTCTGCAGTGCTTTTGATGGGATGAAAAGTTCTTAACCTGGATAATGAGATTTACCCAGATCTCCTGTAACAACTCACTCCCCAAATGTCCACCCACCTTTCTCTCACATCCACTTCCTTCTGGAATCCAGATAAATCTTAGATTTGTTGTAAGATGCTATTTCTCTGCATAGAATTCAAGTCCTCCTGATGTTTAGACAGTGTCTACGTGCCTTATTTCCTTCTGCTTGCACTATGTCTTTCAGCCATTCCCTGTACTTGCTTTCTGTTCCTAAGAGATTGAGACTCAATGTGATTTTCAATGAGTGGATAGTTTGCCTCCCAGCAAGGGTTCTAGGCATGTGCAAACAGCTATCTTCTTCTGCCAGGTCCATTGATGCTAAATCTGTGTTTTGGTCAGCAAAGCATTCATACCCCATGTGGACTCAAGAGCATTGTGCTTATAATACCAGTAGTTAAAAAGTATGGTAACACTCCTACCATAGCTATGACAGATTTGAAGCCAAGACATAGACTCAGGTCACAAGACAGGGCTTGCAAAAATAGATATGAACATGTACTGCATGCAGACTGTACTTTCTGATTAGTTTATAAATGATGTATAAAAGCTACACATACTCGTTTTTAAAGAACCACAGGCAAAAAGGGATGCAGAGAACATACTGAGTTATCTAGTCTACGTGTATCTCATGTAATGCAGGATGCTTCTAACTGTGTTTTCCACAGAGATTTCTTTAAGCACCGTCAAACCCAAGAATGCAAAAAATCATGGGATTTTAAAAACAATAAATTGAGGGTCCTTTTTATTTATCTTGAGTTTGATTCTTTAGGATTCATATTTTCAACCTTTTTCTATAGCCAGGAGGACTAGACACCTTTTTCTCAATATAAGCGGAGATTCCTATTTATCCACACGAATCCAGGAGCTGAAATCAAACGAAAAGCACTCAATCTTGAGAAACTCAAAAAAATCACAACAGTTGGCAAGACTGAAATGTTCTGAATGACGGGGCTTCCACTGCCTTCGCTGTGGAGTATTCCACAATAGATCCCCTTATGTTCATGTTGCTGTTACTCAGCAGTTCTGTGTTTTCACCAAAGAAAACCTGTTCCTTTCATTTAATTCCTGACACTTGATACAAAGGGAAGCTGAAAGATGGAGGCTTGTCAATTCTGCATAGTACTAGTGGATGCTAGATTAATATATTTATGGAGTCAAGTGAGGGATATCACATGGTTGTCCTCAGGAAATGAGAGAAGAGGAGACTTTTACACATTTTTAAGCATATACTAAAAAAAAAAAAATCTTTCCAATCTTCTTGCTTAACAAAGAAGATATTGTTTGGAAGATAGAAAATAAATTAATGTTCTGCTATGACCTCATTAAAATTGGATTTAAGTTCCTGCCCAAAAGAATTTTAGAACAACATTACAGTCTCTTGCCCTTAAATCTCTATCTCTTGAAGCAGGTCTATTTATTAATGTCTCTGCCAGAAAGCATATTTTGACTGGCCTGTGTGCTGAGCAGACGGCTTCTCTTCAGAAGCCCACGCGGGCCATTTTCTTAATCATTTCTTCTCAGCAAAGAGAGTGTTTTCAGCCATATCATTTTTTAATCAAAGCACTCGACTTAGAAACAATGGCTCACATTGATAGACAGACAGATAGGATTTGATCTTGCCAGGGGAAAACAAAAAGAGTAGCACGTCTCTTATCTGTAGCAAATGAATGAGATTAGCCACAACCTGTTCTCTTACTGCAAGATGCTTTCGACAAACACTCTTTGCAGAGCTACAGATTCCCCTCTTGTAATTTTTAGTACAGGACATATACAGCCTGAGGGTACAAATTACTTGTCTATTCAACACGCCTCAGTCCCTTCAGAGGACCGTGCTTGAGAAAAACACTTACTTTCCTTGGCAGAAAAAGCCTTTAAAAACAAAGAAGGCAGCCCTCTGTGATGAAAGCAACGTTCATCCCAAAAGCAACAAACGAACAGTAACTTTGGAAGTTATACATGCCTCAATGGAAAATTGTCAAGACATGAGTTTACTTTTTTTTTGGTGTTTTGCATGGAACTGTATTTCTATACAATCCAAAAGCACTGCTATCTGAAAAAATCCCTGCAATCCTAAACCCATGGAACTATATGTATCCTAGATGTGAAATTTCCAGTTAGGATCTTCAATGGAAAACAAGAGGAAGGAGTGCATGTCATTCTTTCCTTCTCAGGTTTACACTATAAGCTACTCAAAGCAAGGAGTTTATTCTTATTCTGTGTATGTATAACAACTGGCACAGTGGGATCTTGATTCAGTTGGGGCTTCAGTGTGTCACTGTCCTGGAAATAAAAACAATTAAAAGGACAGAGAAAGAGGCAGAGAAAGTGCCTCTCTCCATATGTAAGACTCACAGGGTTGTTGTTTTATAATTCCACTTTACAGTTTAGTCAACCACAGGCATCTAAAATCACAGGAATTCAGTCCTGCCATTCCCCAAAAGTATGATCTATTTAAAATACTGAGATTTGAGAAATAATAATATTTCAGTTCTCTCTCCCTGTGTTTTCTGGTTTTTGATCCTCAAGAATTCACATTTTCAAGGTTTTTCTGTAACCATGAGGGGTAGGATCTTATTTTTATTTTTTTAAATTCAAGCTATTTTCATGTAATCATTTGAGAAGTGGTACAATCACAACATTTGGCAATAATGAATTTAGCCTCACTGAACTAGGAAATTAGACCAATTTTTATATTATATATTTGACGCGATACATTAAATGATCCGTTTAATTTACCTTTTCCATTTTCAGAATCTTTACAGAACCAAAATTGTCAAAATACCAAAACTGTCAAAATACTAAAAATGGTTCCATTTCTCCAACTAAAGTCATTTACAATCAGCTGAACCATATTTCCCCTGCTTTTTCAGTTGAGTAAAGCATTTCAACTTCGTTAGTAACAGGAGTTGGAAAATGTACATCTCTCCATAGAAAATGTAACTTGCTCAGGAAAAATCACATTTAAATATTCTTATGAAAACAGTTGCGTTTTCCACACAATTCATTAAAAAAATTAAGAATTTAATTTCAGTTGAATTCAGCATGGCAATCCAAAATTAGTATTTTTGTTTCAAAATTATAGTTGTCCTTTCTCCTTAATTTAAATATCATTTCAGTTTTTCATCTTTAAACTTTTTATTATCTTTTCTCCCCTGCTTTCTTTTTTCCCTTTTTTTGCCACTGCAAATACATCAAAGGAAAAGTATATGAAAGTATGAAAAAAGCCATTTTTACTCTTTAATATAGAGATTTTTCCAGAAAAAAAAATCAAGTTATTAAAGTTATTACCCACATTCACACACTTTTTATGTACATATATATTATTATTTTTACTTCCTCATTTTGCAGGAGAAAATATTAGATCAAAATATTTTTTCTTAGACATTGCTGATCAAAAAATTGGTTTAAAAATGTAAAAGCAATTAAAATTGGCATTTCCCTGTGGATTCATTTTCAACATAATATTTTATCTGAAAAGCTTAAATCAGGTGCATTTGCTACTTTTCCTAAACTGTCATGTAGCATTGCGAACAGAGGATACTGCATTTAATCAGTAATCAAAGTAGAGTTTGCACATCACTTTAAGGCATGCATCCCTTTGATAAAAGAGCTCTGTGATCTTTCCGGATATAACGTATTAAGATCTCTTTCAGAACTATATATGCCAAAATACATATATATTAACATATTATTAATGTAAGGTTAACATACATACAATTACTATGACTGCATGTGCAACTGTGATACTTATATATCTTGTAACTAGATGCACAGATGTGTGCATATTTTTCTAAGTGCAGTTTTGTTTATGTTAATCTAAAAATCTGCATTTGTATATGTACTTATATTCAATCAACTATTTTCCTAAAGAACATTTGATGTAAATATAAAGAAAATATACATAAAATTTGCTCCATATACACAATATCCATTTATACAGCTGCAAAAACCCTTACAAAAAGAGCATGTCCTTTGTAGTGAACTTGATCATGTCTGATCCATGTTAACTAACCTCATGTGATACTCTGATGAGATGCGGTAGTGAATCACGTCCATACTGATCATCTAAATCCAAATAGCCAACATGTTTTTTATTTCAAAAGCAAAAATCCTGTGAGAGAGGGTTTGCCAGTTTCAGCACTTCCTGGCCACGGAGAACATTAACAGCAAATCAATGCTCTGTCCAAAATCAAATGTGAACAAGAACTGCAGTGCAGCTGTTCAAAATCTGTATTGCTTCTTAGGCAAAGTTTCTAAGCTCTTCCAGTCCTTAGAATAATAAAAATGATTCATGATCTTGAATACTCTGAACCAATGGTTTTGAAATGTAACCTGCTACTTGTGATGCCTTAGTATTTCTGGTCTATACTGTAGTGACATACCGGGTCACTAGGGCCGCATCCAGACGAGTGAGAACATACAGTATGCGGTGCCACAGACCCATTGCTGACACCACACACTGTACATGTAAGCATTCTCCATGTTGCTCCTTTGCAGTGCAGGGGGGTCTCTTGACCCCAGGAGATCCCAGCGTCAAAAAAACCCATGCCAAAAAAAAATGGGACAGTGTACATGATGGCAGTCCACACCACCCAAAACCAGAGTCTGGCCAATTAGAGTCATGCTCCAGCTGCTGGCCAGACTCCCTGCTACAGGAGTGCTGCAACTGCAACTCCCCATGGCCCCCAGGACCCCAGGTAAGGTTGCTGGGGCCAGGATAGTTAGTTGCTGGGGTCGGCATTCCCCAGGGACAAGTAGCAGCGGCACGAGGTGTGATGCTGTTACTTGTCCCTGGGGAAACAAACATCTGCACTCATGTGGACGTGGTCTAGGCATTTAAATTCTAATGGGCAACATCTAAAATATTTAGAGGAGTGGGTACTGCAATCTGACTGGGGAACCTCCAAATATGGAGTGTTAAATATTTTTTACAGACTCCCAGAGGCATCCAAAGAACCTGCAATTGTGAATATACTTAAACAGAGGAAAGTGGACACCACAGAGGAAGTATTTTTCCAGAGTATTATACAGTAGAACCTGAGGGGCAGGGACTGTTCAACTGCAAAAAGTTAAGTGTGTGCATAATTTTACTTGCAATTGTAGTCTCATTGACTTCCCATATGTGCCTGGAGGAGACATCTATTTGGTTGGCAGTAAGTGTGTCTACATGAGTTGCTTACTCCTCAGCAGCCTAATAACACTGCACAGTAGCATGCCAGTCAAAAACTGTGCTAATACACTACTGCGCAGTGTTATTATGCTACTGTGCAGTAAGCATCACAGAAAACCTGTTTGCTAGTGCTACTGTGCAGTAACTGTAGTTACTGTGCATTTAGTTTGCACTTCATTAAGCAAATACTAAACTAAATGTGCAGTAACTAAATGTGCAGATCCCCAGCCACAAAACAACCATCAGAGGAACAACACCAACAGCTTACAACATTCCAACCTCAGACTTGATAAAACTGAAAGCAGCAACCAACCCACAAATATTATCACTCTCTCCACATACATGCTTACCAAAACTGAAAAACTACACCCCAGTAACTACTGTGCATTAATGAATGTGTAGACGTGCCCTGTACCATTCAAATGTTAGGATCACTTGGTACTTCCCAGACATACTTTGTTACAAAGTTGTGTTAGAAATTTTACAGGAATAGTTTTCCTTGTGGGATTTGTATTGTTCTTGGCTCCTAATCAGGCTGTGTGTAGTGTCAGGAGCACAACATTTAGGACTGTATCTTGGCACCTTGTTTAATCCAAGCCAGGATTTAGCAAGGTCTCAAAACAATAAGAAAACACATTAACGAAACTCACTAGAGCCACAGTGTTGGTGATCAGATTTCAAGCAGGTCAAGTGTTCAGTTCCATGTGTAACCATGTGGTACTTGCCTTTTTTGCATAAAACTAGCACTGGCTATTTGCATGGCTCTGCAGACATGAAGCAGTGTACAATTATATACTAGCTTGTTTTAAAAAACTGGACTTAAGTCAAACTGGACTTGTGGGCTTACTCTTGTCACCCAGACATATTCACTCGGCCCCAGCAAAAACCACTGGACAGATTAACTGAAGTCCCTAGCAGGATGTCCACCCAGCATAAAAATGTTAACTGTTCCACATAAACACAGCCAACAATGAACAGTTGTATAGAAGGCACTTACAGCCACCAAACTGTGTTTCTGATCATGCATTAGTCAGTCACCTCTCTCTCTGCCATTTCTCCATCTGTTCAATGGAGATAAAAGAAGCCCCACAGAGGTGTTGCAAGGATCAGCTGGGTAACATTTATATAGCACTTTGAAGATGCAAAATACTAAACACTGTTATAACACATGCTACACTAAGTTTATAGGCCATGCATATAAAATCATTCTTTAAACAGCATACTGTATTCATTATATATTTCAAGTCATACGAACAAACCAGTAAAAGTACTCAAATAGCCTGAAGCTAACCAGAGATCTTATCACACTACCTCCCACCATTTGGGATCATTTTGCTTTGAAACCCCCTAGTTATTCTCCTTGTAACATAGTAGATAAGTGAATCTCCCAGGTCAGGGCTCAACTATGTCATATAGTGCAGATGTTTACTTTGTCTTGTTCTCTACAGAGGAAATACAGAAAGTCCAGTCTCTTGACTAATTACTGACTACATTATTAAGTAGCAATGAGCTACAAATAATATTTAAAAAAGTAAAAGCTAGAGCATAAGAAATCATGCTTTTAGGAAAACCAGGGGTATCTTGGACAAATGGTTGTTTTGAGAATCAAATGAAAAGGAAACATTTTATCAGAAGAAGCTTTAAAAGAAATTCTGCTAGGTAAATTTATTTCAGCAAACCCAAAAGAGAGATTTGTTCCTGACCTCTAAATCGTATTGATTTATTCACCTGTTATTCAGTGAATCATCTAAGGGCTTTTGCACAGGTAGAACGAGGGCTTGGGCAACTCTCGACCTAGAGAGATAAGTTGACCCAGGCAAGTGATCACCCAGCTTTATCAGCTGGTGCACTACAAAAGGAAAAGCTAGAACAGACTTACGGTGCTGATGTTTTACACCTGCTATCTAAGAAGGTCTGTGTTTACTAACACTGGGTTGTGTCTGTATGGCAGCACATGAAAATAATTCACTTTCTTTGAAATTAGTCGGGCTGTTGTATGGCTCTCTGGAGCTTCACTTCATTGGTATTTTTAACAGATGTTAGAATACCTGTCTCGGTGCTTCATGGCTTCAGTTCACAGAGCGTGTTCTTTCCTTATTTATTTAAAATAGGTTAAATGAACTGGGGAAAAAATCAAATTAGTTATAATATTTCTGAGAACTCAAATATGTGTTTTATTCAGTTTCTGCTCTGGGGAATTCCTCTAAACTTATCTTTCTGTAATAACTTAGCATGCTTTAGAGTGTTTATGAAATGAACACTGAAGGTAGAGTATTTCTCACAAATCCTTTAGAACAGCCAGATCTGCTTATCTGAATGGAACAATTAGTCTGGCAGGATTGACTCATTCTACCTGCCTGTTCCTTTTTGTGGGAATGTAACTCTTGCTGTGAAAATGTTGTACTAAGCAAGCCTTAGTTCCGCTCATAAATCAGCCTGATGAAAGGTTTGAAAGCCTGTTTCTATGGTGTAGTTAAATTACTACTGAGTAAGTACAACTGAGTTTGTCCTTAGTTTTTCCATGAAGCATAATGTAACTTAGACAGAAGTTAGGTTAAGCAACAGATTAGTGTAGAGAACCAGACAAGAGTTTCTGAGCTGGGTAAAATGAGGCAAATAATATTTAAGTATAGATCTCCAACATATTTAAGATACAATTTAAAAGTTTGTCTCAGACTATTTAATTTTACTAGTCATGAAAAAGTGAGACCTGGTATCACGTGCAGACAGGCCGAGTGAGAATATCCTATCAAAAAGAATTGAAGTTGATTTAATTCATCTCTCTAAAGCCAAACCTGCCTTTACAATTCTCTCTCTGGATTAGAACCATCTCTGGAAGAGTTCACATATGAGCAGAGTCTCATACTGTTTATGGATTCAATGTCTTTTTTCATTCAATGTGAAAGAATCTCAGGATATCAGTCATCCATTCTGTGCCAGAATCTCTTAACAGCAACTACAGGGATTTTGGTGCTCTTATATCTGATGGTTAAACTCCACTTAATCGGGATCTCTATCAGAACACTCTTCCTTTTGCCAGCTGTTGGGGCAACAGCCTAGAAGAGCGGTTCCCAATCTGTGGTACGGGTACCACCACTAGAATGCAGGCAACCCGTTAGTGATACGCATTAACAGATTATTATAATTACTTTATATGAAAAAAAATTGCTGGTTGTACTTAAGGTTGTATCATTTCAAATTGGTGGTGCGCAATCTGTCAGTTTGGGAACCTCTGTCAGAGTTTGGGAACTGCTGGCCTAGAGCAAGACACAACACTACATGGGTAAGAAGATAGAGGCTAGACTAGTTTACTGTCTTCAGCTCCTGCAGTTCTAGTCATCCTTCCAAAGCTACAACATACTTGCGGTTTGCTGTTCCACTCTTGAAGAAATAGATTCCAAAATGATAATTTCTGAGTGGGTTTGGCAATACGTGGAGGTCAGTTTTCTTACAGCGCAAGGTTGAGAATGACCAAATATTCATAACATAAAGCCAAGTTTGAAGGAGAGACTTACAGGAGGAGAGAAAAAGGGGGCAGGGAAAGGTGCAAAGCAAAGCCTGCCAATACCTGAGAAAGCTAGTCAGCTACGCATTTACCTTCCATCTGTACTCACAGTAAAATCCCTGTAACTTGACTGGACTGCTACTTGCTTTAGGACTAAAGGAATAGGCCTATCCTACAAAGAGAACCCTTCTTTTGAGTAAAGATTAATACAACTATCATAATACTAATCCAACGTTGAAAATGTACTGATGATGTTCCAAATACTCTATAATTACTGGCTATGCATGTGACTAGACCAAGTCCCCAACCCCGCTCTCAAACAGAACAGAAGTGAATACAAAAGCTGAATTAATGCCCCAAATCTGGGAGATTTTCCTCACGAGTCATTGAAATAACATAAAAACTTCAATGTAATAATAGTGCCCATCCACCTTACACATTCCCCCACATCTCTCTACTTCAAACCCTAAATCCTTTCAGGCACAGCAACCACTCTTGTTTCCTTTATAATCAGTATGCGATGAGTGGACTGCACCTGAGTGAATCCGCATGTCATGTAATGTTCCAACCCCTGCTAATATGATGGGGAGAAAGGAGGAGTCTCCTCTTGTTGGGGCATTTTTTTGCATCCTGTTACATTATTAAAATATTGGGGGTGGGGGAAACTTGTGGGGGAAAAAAAGATAAATTCATTTTCACATGCAAAACTAACTTTTATGCAGATATAGCCACAAATGAAATGTCGTTATTCTACTGACAAGCGTGGTTTTTCACAGTTAAGTTTGGTAGCATTCCACCCTGAAAAAGATCACAAATCATGTGTACAAGCACCCAAATATTTCACACACTATCTTTGTAGAATGTAACTATGTTCACAGTGCAAGTAGCTTTTCCACTGTGAAAGAAAGACAATCCTTCTTCTAAACTGAAAAAATGCAGACAAGACAGCCTTTTAAAAAAATCCATTTTCAAACACCAAGCAAAAGTTCTGTTGTGCTTTTTTTTCCCCTTCAAGCCAGAACTACAAATGGATTCACTCAGCCTTTCTTGTTTTGGTACCAGGGACCAAATTTTCAGCTCAAGATTCCTTTTAAACAAGCAGAAAGGGGAAGGGGACATAAAACTAAAAAACAAGCAGGCATATTTGATCACTTAGTGATGAAAAGATCAGGCACTCATCGGGTGCAGGGTTTTATTTTTGTGCATTGTGTTAAAAATTGGAAACCATATGTTTTAAGAACAGCTTCAATAGTATCAGTAGCTATGGTCCTCCTCTCAGATTACTTTTTACTGCCTGCCTAATTTTGAGCTTTAATAGCTAACATGCACTTTGTTTATCAGTTACAAATGTTCTGAATTTGAGTGAAGTAGAAGGCTAAGCAACACAGATTGGTCCCTCATCAGTACTAAAGAAACAGCTAGCAATTTGTTTAATGCTAATGTTGCTCAATTTTTACTTTTTACAGATAAATAAATATTCATGACAAATAAATAGAACTACACAAAGAAAATGGATTCCTCCCATTGTGAACGATGAATGTGAGCTATGAGCACAAGGGCCCTTTGTTACAGCTTTGTTGTTGTGTTGAAGACTCATTCCTACAAGGTGCTAAGCACTGATTCAGCAGAGCACTTCAGCACATGCCTAAATTTTAAATACTCACGTTGAATTTAAAGTTACGCATGTACTGAAGTGCTTTGTCACATAGTTTTTGAGCCTACTCTGGTATTAGTTAAGCACATGCTTAAGTTCTTATCTGGATTAGGGCCAGTGACTTTAGAGTCCTGCAAGATTACACTCTGCTAGCCAGCAATATCCTTTTTTACTTCCACCTGATGTTTTTCTATATGA